GCATGGATTATAAGTGGAATATATTTTATATTTGTGGGTGAAGAAAAATGTCTTTTTCCCATCCCATTGCTATCATTGTTTTAATTCTTGTTAATTTTATTTTTTTTATTTTCTTTCAATGGAGTCTTGCTATGTCTCACATCCTTATCTCCCAACACATTATGTAATCAAGTCTTGCTGGAATACTTTGTATATTATTTCTCAGTTCTCCCCTCTCTTTGCAAGTCCATCACCATTACTTTCTTCCAAACTTTATCTACATTAATTTAGATATCTTCTAATAGAACTTCTAGCTTCCAACACCACCTCCTTCAAGTCCATCTTTACGATCTTTAAATAGCTGCCTATCATCTACATCATAAGATCCAAAACTTTCTCCTGTACAAGGTAGGTAGAAATCATATGTTTTCTACTTACAGAGTCATTTCTTGCTCTTCTATACATCATGTGTCACTCACTTGTTAGAGTCAACCACTTGCAACTCATTGCATACTTCATACAGTTTCCCACCTCCATGACCTTGTTCTTCATATTTTCCCTCTTCTTTTTCCATACATCTGTATTTTTCCTACTTTACTTGACCCCTTCTGCTTTGAGAGTCAACTCAGATGTCATCTCTTCCTGGAAGAATTTCCTGATTTTTCCCAACATCCCAACCCCACCCCACTGCCAGTCTGAATTAGTGCTCTGTTTCTCTCCTTCCATCATATCTCCTAACAACAAGTTTGTCAAATTACATGGAAATGGCCCATATACCTGTATGTCATTTGTACCCTTACCAAAATCTAAATCCCTTGAGTGCTCAAAACATTTCATGTTTATATATGCAATCACCATATAAAACATTTAATGTTTATTGAACTCTACCAAAAAACTAGATACCTACAAACAGAACACAACAAATCATTAAAAAGATCGTGACCAAGTAGGCATCATTGCTGGAATGCAATCATGGTTTAATGTACATAAATCAATAAATGTAATCCATCACATAAACATACGCAAGGAAAAAATTGATTATAAACATGATTATATCAATAGACGTATAAATGACCTTTAATATAATCAGATATCCATTTATGATAATCCTCATAAAAATAAGTATAGAAGGACATTATCTCAAAATGATAAAAGCCATTCATGACAAACTCACTGCCAACATCATACTAAATGGTGAAAAACTGAAAACATTTCCTCAAAAATCAGGAACCAGACAAGGTATCTTATACTCATGACTCATGTTCAATATAGTGCTCAAAACTTTAGCCAGTGCAATCAGGCAGGAACAAGAACTAAAAAATATAGATATAGGAAAGGAAGAACTCAAAATATTCTTATTCACAGATGACATGATTGTTTACATAGAAAACCCAAAAATACTACTAAAAGACTCCTAGAATTCATGAATAATACAGCAAAGTGGCAGGATACAAAATCAATACACAAAAATGAATAACCTTTCTGTATACCAACAATGAACCCACTGTGAAAAAAGATCAGGAAAAAAATCCCATTCACAATAGCTTCAGAAAATTTTAATACCTAGAAATTAACCTACCTAAGGAAGTGAAAGACTTCTATAATGAAAACTATAGCACTCTGAAAAAAAATAGATTCAAGAGGACATCAGAAAAATAAAAATCCACTGTTTCTGGATAGGCAGAATCAATATTGTCCAATGGCTATATTACTAAAAATGATATCTAGATTTAATGCAATCTCAATCAAAATACCAACAGCATTTTTCACATAATTAGAAAAAAAAATCCTAATGAGTATGGAACCAGAAGAAGTCTAGATAGCAAAAGCATTCTTGGGCAACAAGATCAAAGCAGGTGGCACCATAGTTCCAGGTTTCAAGTTATGTCATAAAGCTATGGTGATAAAAACAGCATGGTCCTGGCAAAACAAGACAAAAAAACAAACAAGAAATACTGATCAATGGAACATAATAGAGGATACAGAAATAACCACAGGCACATTCAGTTACCACATCTTTAACAAAGGGACCAAAAGCATAAGCTGGAGAAAAGATAGCTTTTTGGACAAATTGTGCTGGAAAAAATGGCTATCTACATGCAGAAGAATGAATCCAGACCTAACATCTTTCACCCTCTACTAAAATAAAATCAAAATGGATCAAAGACATGGATATAAAAACAGGAAAATTGACTCTGCTGAAAGATAAAATAGGTAAAATGATTAAAGACAAGGCATAGGCTATAATTTTCTGAACAGGACTTATACCGCAAAAAATAACACCAACAATCAAGAAATGGGATTATATCCAATTAAAAAGCTTCTGGACAACAAAGGGAACAACCAAGATAATGAAGAAACAACCTAGAGGATGGGAAAAAACTGCCATCTATTCCTCAGATAAAGAACTAATATCTGGAATATATAAAACTCAAAATAGAACCGCCCACTAATAAAAGATGGGCAATTGAAAAGAATTACTTTTCTCAAAAGAAGTATAAATGGCCAGTGGGTGTGTGAAAAAGTGTTCAGCATCTTTGGCCATTAGAGAAATGTAAATCAAAACAACACTGAGATTTCATCTTACTCTCGAAAGAACAGCTACATCAAGAAGTCAAAAAACAACAAATGTTGACGAGGCTGTGGGGAAAAAGGAACCCTTCTACATTGTTAGTGGAAATATATAAACTAGAGCAATCACTATGGAAATCAGTATGGAGACTCATCAGAAACCTAAAAATAGAGATTCCATTTGACCCTACTATACTTCTTCTGAGTATCTTCCCAAAAGAGTTAAAGATATCATATTACAGTGATACATGCATATCCATATTTATAGCAGCACAATTCATCACAACCAAATCTTGGAAGTGACTTCTATACCCACCTACAGATGAACTGATAAAGAAAATGTAGTATATTTACACAACTGAGTACTATTTAGCCATAAAGTTGAGACTTTTGTAGGAAAATGGATGTACCTTGAGACCACAAGCTAAGTACAATAAATCACACATGAAAATTAAATATTGTTGGTTTCTTTTACATGAGAAACTCAAAATATAAATAATTTACGGAGCAAAATAATATGATTGAAAGCAGGGAAGTGGAATATGTGGAGCTGGGAACGGGATGGGGCAATGGCTAGAGATATGAGGGAGGCAAGGGTAAGTAAAAAGGATCAAAATGAGATGTACATGTACCTATTTCCCATGATGAAATATATTTATCATGTATTGCAGATACTAGTTTAAAAAGGAGGGGGTCACTGAAAATTATATGCAAATTTGTGCACAGTGATGAATTTCAGCATTCACAGCTCATTGCTATTTGGGAGACTGAACCAGGATGATTGCAAGTTTGAAGCCAGAGAGACTGCTTCAAAATTAAAAAATAAAAAGGGGAGGGATGCAGCTCAGTGTTAGAGCACTCTTAGATTCAATCCCCAATACCAAAAAAAAAACAACTAGAAATTTTTCTCTAGCTCCTCTGCACTGCAAGAAATACTAGAGGGAAGTCTCTGGCCTAAAGAGAATTAAAAGTAGATGACTTGAACCTATAAGAAAAAAAAAAAACCTATCTTATTTTCTTTTCTTATTTTGGTAAATAACAACTGACTGCTAAGCAAAATCTAACATTTTGTTGTATGCATTAATTTGTAATTTAAGTGTATGTTAGACATTACAACAAGGACACATAGGATTGAAGAATTAAAAAGACCAAAGTTGGGCGAGGGATTTAGCTCAGTGGTTCCAGTGCCTGCCTTGCAAGCGCAAGGTCCTGAGTTCAATTCTTGGTACCAAAAAACCCCAAAACAAAACAAAACAAAAAAGACCAAAGCAGGAGGCATTGTTGCAAATTTGGTACGTAAAATGGTGGCAGATTTTATCTGTAAAATTATACTAAGTAGACTGTGATAAAATAAGAATGATCATGTAGTTGTATAAAGAAAATAAAAAGAAGTAAAGCTAAGGAGCAACAGGATGTCTCAGATAGGATTAGTACAAAAAATACTGCACTCATGGTTCTTTGAAGTGTTCATGTTGTAAGATTATTGGGTCACAAAATTCAGAAAGATGTGAGGTTGAGTCATTCTTCTGGCCCTCATACAAACATACCCATATTTACAGCAGCACAGTTCATAACAGCTAAAATCATGGAAGCAGACTATATGCCCATTAACAGATGAATGGATAAAGAAAATTTAGTATTTACACACAGTGGAGCACTACTCCATCATAAAGAGAGATAAACTTGTGTCATTTGCAGGAAAACACACACCTTAAGAACATAATGTTAAGAAAAATAAATTTAACACACAAGCTTAAATATCACATGGTTTCTCTTATTTGAAAAAAAGTATAAATAAAGAGCAAAATAGAAGATACTAATAGGATGTAGACACGTGGATCCTTCTCAAAGGAGAATGGGATTCAGACATGGAGGGAGCAGGGAGGGAAAGAGGATGAAAAAAGGAACTGAGATGTGTTATGTACCTGTACCAACTCCACACAAGGAATGTATGTACTGCAAATATGCACTAATAAAAATACATAAAACTGATTTGGGGGTATATGATTACTTCTGATTATTTAGCTTGTCTTTCAAAGGACTGTGTCAAAGACACGGTTTGATCTGTTTTATGTTTAAAACACTGTTTCTCTGCTTCAAAAATATCCTCTGCAATTATTACTGAGGAACACAATGTGAATTATTAAATCTATCTTGATACAAATACCAAAAATAACATACATACACAGGAAAATGGAAAATTCTTTAGCTCCACTCCCACATTCCTTCACCAGATCACCCACGCCCACAGTGAAGCAGGGCCAAATACTCCTCAGAGTTTAATCAAATTTCCTTCTGTCCACTTCTGACTCCTAGTGAGGTCGAAGGACATCCGGGTTCTCCCACTCCGGTCGGGACCCTGTTGTTTCCCCACGAACCACATCACTCACTGAATCTCATTAGTTGGGAAAGAAGCATTGTGTTTTATAACAGTAACGCATGGTATCTGTGCGTCCTGTCTGGAAACACTGGCCACCCTGCTCCCAATCCCCCTCTTTCCCGCTGTCTCTCCTCCCTCCCAGATCAACTGGGCCTCTTCCAAGCCTGTGCAAAAGAAAATAAAACGCCTGGGCCCCTTGCCCAAGTGTTTCCAGCCAGCACTGCACTGCCAAGGCCAAGTCTGCACCCGAGGGTCTGGGTTGGGAGCAAATGCAAATGTGAGCCTCTTGAGAAAGTGCTTTCCGGCCAGGCTCTCCAAACGCACTAATCTTCTATTGACAAAAGTCTTTCCCAGGCACAGAAGTCTGTCTCTGCTGAGAGGCCAGGGGGGCCCGGCCTTATCTTTTACTTTCTTCTGCTGTTAGCGCGGTGACAACTTGTTTTCGTCTTCATTTCCCGCCGTCTCCCGGTATTTTTAGGCTTGAGCCACGTCGGAGCGCCCCGGTCCTTCGGGCTCCCAGCGCGGGGTCTGAGGCCCGGGTGGCCGCGCGCCCACCGGATCCGCGACCCAGAGACGCCCGGAAGCCGGGCCTCGCCCTGCGCTCCGCGGACTCTGCTTTGCCTCGGAAGCCGCCCCACTGCCTTCTTCCCGCCGCTTCTCCTCCTCTGTCCCCGCGGACAGCACCAACCCTGGACCCCGCCAGCGTCGCGGGCAGAGCGGTGAGGGGCGCGAGCGGTGGGCTGTGGCGCCGCGACGCGGGCGGAGGCCGCAGCCTGGGGCGCAGGGGCTCGGGCGCAGCCTCAGGTGGTTGAGGAAGTTTGCGGCCTGCGGGTGCAGACCGGGCGGGTTTGGTCGCATCTCCGGGGGTGGTGGAGGTCGAGCTGGCCCGGGGTCGGGGCCCCCTGGGTCTCCACGCGGTGGCCGCGGCGCGGCGGAGGCTCTGGCGGCTGCGCTTCTTGGCGCGCTCTCCAGCCGCGGGCTCCGTCGCGCGTGACCGGTCCCGCCTGACTCGGTCCTCACGTCTTCCACAGGCTCACCCGGTGCGGCGCCTCGGACTGGCTGGCTGATCCCAGGTAATCGTGGATGGTAACTTCTGAGGGAGGGGTGTGTTAGAACCAGTCTCTCACAGCGTCGATTAGGGCAAACAGGGGAGAAGTAATTTATTTGTGGTTATACTTGCGTTCTAAAAAAAATAAAACACATATTTCAAGGCTTAAATGTTCTCCTATTCTGTGGTTTTATATGTTGCTATCCTTAGGATCTAAGGTATAGTTTTTAGTTTTATATTGCATATTTAAAAGGGAGCCACTAAAGTATGATGAAGATATTATGTACTAAGATTGATTTCCATCCACATTAAACGGGCATAGATCCAGTAGTTTAATTTGCATACTATTGTAGTAGAAATAGATAACCTCCTCTGACTGCCTGTCTGCTGTCATAGTTCATTGTAAAACACAAGCATCATTTCCATTAAATTGGAAAAGGCAAGACTGTTCATTGTCATACTCGGAAGTTGTTGTGAATCCTATGGACCTTTGGCATTAGACAGAATGCAGTAACTCTGATTAGAATCAAGGATACAAATTAGCAGGGAGGTGCCACTTGCATGTAATCCCAGCAAGAGGCTGAGACAGAAGGATCACTGAGAATTCCAGGCCTGAGAATTCCAGCTTGGGTTACATAGTGAGTTCAAGGCCAGGCTAAGCTACATAGTAAGAATTTGTCTCAAAATACAAAACAAAACACAATAAAAAAGAGGATGCAAATTGTCAATTTACATATGATATCATTGTATTCCTTTGAATGCTCATAGAAAGCAACTGAAAAACTCATAGAAAGAATAAAGAAATTTTGCATAGTTTCCAATTGCATTATACTAAGTTTGTTAAAATCAGTTGGAGCTGTACATGTAAACTAGAAAACAATGAACAAAATAAGCCTCAATTTGGCATGGAATAACAAAAATTGAAAAAAATATTTAAAAAATATAAGCTGTAGGAACTTAAATGAAAATGTATTACATATAATATGCTATAATTATGTATATATCCAATCAACATATATTTCCCTAAACATGTAATAACCTTAAAATAATACCTAAATTAACATAATCCTATTTTTTTATATTTAAAGCAAAACTATTTATCTTTTATGAGAAACAATAAACACTAGAAAATAGGAAGATTTCAATTAAAAAACATATGGAACTTTATGCCAAAAGGTATTATAAAATCAAAATGATTAAAAAATAATGACATAGACCAAGTCCCAGACATTTCAACAGAATTGTAGAGATAGATTTAAGAATAAAAGGAAAACTGGTGTTTGATAAACATTTTAAGTGAAAGAATGAGGAAGAAATAACATTTAACTGGTCTTACTTGGACAACCAGGTATTTATTGGGGAGAACTAATAATAAAACTGAAATTTTTCCTTACTGTTAATAGAACATAACATAAATGGCTTTTAATTTAAAACTAAACATGTGAAACCTAAAAAACAAAGAAAAGGAAAAGTTAAATGTTTATACACATACATGTAGGGAAAACATTTCTAAGTATACTACAAAAACCTATACCCATTTAGGGATATAATTTGTATTAACACATGCAAAAAAACAGACAAATGGGTACATTGTTAAACAGAAAAGATAATTTTGCTTTAAAAAGTCTAAAACTCTAACTAGTGACTTTAAAAATCAACAACTCAGTTAAAATAGTCAATTCAAAGCAAGAGATAAATCCAAATGATAGTCAGAATAATGACTATGAATCCCATTAATTACCCAAAATATTCAAATAAAGACATCAACTTTTGCCTATATCATTAGTTTTGAAAGTCTGATAATACTGTGTTGCTGATAAAGTGATGAGAGAAATATACTTTTGTCAATTGGGGTGGAAATGTGAATTAGCAAAATATATTAATGTGGCAACTATTAAATTTTTCAAATATTCTTTCCCTTATTAAAGTTTACCCCGAAAAACATGCTCCCAAGGGTGCAAATAAAGATCTCTATTAAACAATCGAGGGTCAAAGATGTTCACAGTAGCATTGTTTGTATACAGAACACATAGAAATGGTTCTGAAGCCATTGATTAGGATTTGGTCATACTATTTATGGTACGTCCAGATGTGGAATGGTATATGGTTTAAAACACTAAACCATTTAGTAACTCTAAATGTGCTTATGAGAATATATGTCAAAGTATACTATAAGTTGTAACAATCAGAGACAAAAAGGTAAAACCTAGTCTCTCTCTGTATACACATATATAGATAAGTATACACACACACATATATATATACACACACACATATTTTTAAAATAACAATTTGGGATACAGAGTGATTCATTAAATATTTCTATGAGGAATGAATGTTTGTAAAGAAAAAGAGATGATCCTTGTGTAATAGGAAAAATAATAGTTACTGTCTGTGATTAATTTATACAGAACATTTCCTTTCAGCATATATTAGTTCTTTACTGTAAAAGAAAGATATTATCTTTCACAAAGCTTCCCGTACTGAGTTTTCATTTTCTTTCTCTTTAAAGATCCTCTTTTTGATGCTTCCTTTGGAAACCCTTTCCTTTTTCTTCTTCACTAATATTGATTTGTGTGATTTTTTTTTTTGTAGCCCTTGAATTGAGAAATTTTGTCTGAGGGGTTTCATAACTTTGTTAAAAACAGGAAATATAAAAATATTAATATTCCTTACAGATATCACTAGCATTTGTACTAAAATTTATCTTTATGTGACCCTTCTCTAGGATGAGAACATTAGATACCCTATTTTTAGGAAGGACAACATCTAAAATGCACCACAGAAAACTTAGACAATTGCATGGGGAAATGCAGTAATGACAAATTATGAAAAAAATTAAAAAACAAAAATAAGCACACACATACATACTCAAAAGATAACAAAGAGAAGAACAGATTACAGGCAATTTACTGAAATGGAGAAGGAAAAGACTTTCAGACATAATAAAAACTGCTTGACCTCCATTATAAGGTACATAGTATATGAAACTAATTTTCTTCTTATCGGACTGACAGTAGCAAAAAGTTTGACAAAGCACTACATTGAGAATGTAACTTTTTGTCTGGTGTGTAAATTGACTCAGTTTTTTTAATACAATTTGACTATATCAAAAATGCACAAAACTTTGATCCACCAACTCTGCTTGCAGGTATTTCATATACAGATATAAAAAGAAGTATGTGTAAATTATCAGATTCAGCACTATTTGTAATAACATAAACTTAGAAACAATTTAACATTTCATTATTAAACAACCAATTGTATGTATTATGGTGTAGCCATTAAAAAATAAGGTTATGTGGGCCAGGGATTTAGTTCAGTGGTTCCGCCACCTGCCCCCAAAAGCTCAAGGACCTGAGTTCGAGCCCCGTAGCAAAATAAATAAATAAATAAGGTTATGTGAGCTGAAATGTAGTCAACAACACATTTCAATAAATGAGAAAGACATGAAAATGGACACTTTATTAAAATGTACATAAATTAGTTTATATGTGCTTAGAAAATCTCTTGGTAGACAAAATCTAATGTACAGACTGGAAATGGGAACTGAGGTATGAGAAATTCTATTTATCTTGTAAATTTGTGTGCTGCTTTAATGATTTTTTGTAGATGATGCCTATTTTTAAGATGTTTTTCATAAACATAGTTTCATACCAATATGATTTCATTGTGAGCAACATGACATCTTATTCGAGTAACCAGAAAAAAATTATACAAGAAGACATTATCTGGAAATTTTCCAGATAGCATATTGGCATGATAATGTTTCCTTAAATGTGTTCTATAAACACTGTAAGAATATTGTTCTTCTGATATTTTTCATACATCATATAACAAATATTTCCTTCTAAAAAACTAAAATGGAACAATTGGAACTAATTTAATATGTTTAATAAAAGCTATCTATGAACTGTGCCTATCAGTTTCCTTTCATTCAAGCTGATCTTCTATTTTAAAATAAAACCACATAAACAACCTGCAAAATTCACAAGAGATACTAAAAAGAAGGAGGTATTCTACTATATACCTTTTCATTGGAAAGATTTATGATTCATGATATGAATAAGAAAAATATTTCTATACGTTATAGAGACAATGCTGTAGATACCATGTTTCTTCACAGTAGCCCACTGTATGCTATAGGGTGTATTTTAAAAATTGTTTTCTCCCTTTTTTCTACTTTTACTTGGCCAAATCTCACTTTGCAGGGCCTAGTTTTTCCTACCTTTAATAAATGTAAAACTTTGCCACTATTAAAAAAAAACTGTAAACTTGTTTATCTTGAAATTTTCATTTGTCCATAGTGAAAATTAATCAATCTCAAATATCTTGTAGGATTGATTTCATGCAAAAATTAAATAAATATGTTAAATATATAACTCTAATGAAAGATCTGTTCATTTATATGACCTTTTAACTAAATGTTTTATCTGAAGAGACTTAACACATATCTTGTTACTGTCTCTGTTATCACTTATTTTTTGTTAGATTAGTTTTGTTTCATGTTTTTGCACATCTGTCTAGAGCTGGTTGACAGTAGCCTAGTAGGTCCTCCTACCTGTTTCTTCATTCAGTCTTTACCAATACCAATATATATATGAAAATATATATATGAAAAAAAATATATATATGAAAATATATATATGAAAATTTCATATATATATGAAAATTTAAATACGAATTTATATTTTATAATATTTCCTCCAACTATTTCATACTTTAAAAATTTATAAAATGAGTTGGGATATGTTCACTCTTTTATTTTTCTGCAAGAGCTTGTGAAGAATTGATATTAATTAAGTACAGAATTTGTCATCTGTGCCTGGGTTATCTTTTAGGAAGTTTTTTGAATTCTAATTCATTCTCTTGTTATAGTTATACTCAGATTTTCTATTTCATCCTGAGTCAATTTTGGTAGTGTGTCTTTTCCAGAAATTTATCAAATTCATAGATAGGAATGGAGATAAATGTAATATTTTGTCAGTGCTGATCAACCCTAGGTCCTCATGCATACTAATTATA